TTGCACATTAGGTTTATTACTTGGATAACCAAGTACTAAATCAATGCATAGTAACTGGCACTACTACACAGTAGCACCAGCGCATGGTTTTTTTTAAGGCTAACTGTGCAATAGCCTAATACTACTGTGCATTAGCGTATTGGCATCATTTTTGCCCTGCACGCTAACGCATAGTAGAATTAGGCTACTGCACAGTTAGAGTCTTGTGTAGATGCACCCAGTGATGATGTGAAAGTAACAGTATTTTTTTGTTCTTTTTCATCCTTTATTTTTAGTTTTATTCTTGCTCGGAAGTGTAGAAGACTGACACACCTTACAAAGGAAGAAAGGTAAGAAAAACCTCTTATATGGATTCTGTCAGAGGCTTTAAATATCTCTCTCTCTACACATAACAGACAAAAAAATTTCTTTCAGTAAAAATCCCCATGCAATAATTATAGAGAAGTTGGGTGTTAACTAAGCACAGTGCTGTCACTTTAAAAGAGAAACATGTCACCTTGTTCCCAGGGAAACTATGCCTAGCCTTCATCCAAAACGGCAGCAAACACAGTAACTTCTAGCTGTCATATATAAAACATTTTGGGCCAAATCCTTAGGCCCTCATGTGACTGCTTTGAGCTTGTCAGGCAGTGGAAAGTAGCCAAAGAACTAGAACAGCTGGGGTTCCCTTAGCATAAAGGAATGCCTAGTGGGCCCAAAGCCAGCTCATGCTCTGCACTGCTGTTCCCATGGCCCTACATAGTACCCTGGATACGTTGAGTGTGTGCCAGGTATAGGAGGGCCTAAATGGAAACATCCTAATGATCCTAGTCCTGGAGGCTATTTCGGCACCTGGACACTAGTGCAGCATTGAAACTGCTCCAGTTCTATATCATGGGATGAACCAGCTCACAAAATTGGGATGTAGAAATGTGGCAGAAAGCTGCCTGAGGCCCTCTGTGTTCAGGTACACTGAGTATAGAGGAAGCACTCTGGAAGATCAACCCCCTTGTCTTGTTTAAGCACATTTTGACTTACAGCAGACGGTTAGTAATTAGCAAGACTAATGTTCCACAGCAGGCCTGAGGAGAAGCCCTATTTAAAAATGCATAGTTCATGTTCAGACTTTAAAACATGGGTGTAACAGGTTGCATGTCTCAGGGCCTGCAGCTCAGCTGCAAGTGAGAAGCAAGTGATTGCAGGCCTGCCTAGGAGGACTGGGCCAGCTGATGGGAATAGTTGGCCTACCCACAGGAAGTTAAAAAGCTCCCGGGGAAGGGAGCTGAGAGAGAGAAGGCTGGGAGACAGAGAAAGGGCCACAGTGTGAGTTAACTCTTTACTGTCAATGTCTTTGTTTACGTGATGATTTATGGTTTGTGTTTGTTTGCCCCAGGGGACAAAGACGGTGTTATGTAAACGGACAACCTGCTGCAATGGGATACCATGTCTCCAAGTAGACATGATGATAATAATAATAATAGCCAACCTCACTAGAAAAGGCTGTCATCCTGGGATCAGCTAAGGATCTCTTTAGAAATGAGATAAGTAGGGAACATACAGAAGGATCAAATGGGGTCATTATTCCCCCAGGACTATTAAAATGGCAGTGTTGCACCATAGAACTTCTTTTGTTTTGGCAGGAACAGACCACTTTCTGCACCCATCTTTTAGCTCTGAGGTAGAACTGCAGTAGGTAACTATCTATAAAAAGCTTTGCAGGTAGTTTGAAACTTACTGTGCTTAGCATTTCAATCTATCACCAACACTAAATGCTGTTCCATGCCATGTGTCAACAAGTTAAGTGCAATTTAACATTCAACAGCACTTGAAAGCAGCTTAGTGTTTCTGTGTAATAAATGGATGCCTCATTATTTATAAAGCTGCCATAAGATGAACCACTGTGTCTGTGGGTATTGAGAATTAACAGGATTATCTGACTGTAGTTGCCTACGGTTAACATTTAAACAATGGTATTTTGAACACTTGTCTTTGCTGATTGAAAATCAAACTACTAATGACTTTATGTAAGAAGAGGTGACAATGTACCCTATGGCTTGGTACAACATGTCTGTCAGGGAAAAAGTCACTCAGTCTTAAGGCACATCTCTTAAGCCTCAATTTAATCCTCCACAGGGATGGGATACAGGCCAAGTGTCTGGGCAGGAGTATCTCTGCACTCACCTATGAACTCAGCACTTGGCTTCCCCAAAACAGACTAGATTCAGTCCATCATAAGTGACTCAGTGTATTTCCTAGGATCCAGAAACTTTGCGTTCCAGGGGCTGCCTGAGAGGCTATGGCAACTCTTCAAATCTGAAATGTCAGCTGCAATAGCCATCATAGTGGGATTTTACTGTAGCTTGTCTGCCTAAGTAAGGATGTGAAATCCATCTCTGTCTCCCACCAACGCATCCTTGGGACGCAGACTAGTTACCAACTACAGTGGGCCAGATTGTGGCCTACCTTGCACAGTTGTGCAAAGGACCTTAAGGCTATCAAGCACTCCCTTTCCAGCTCTTGCAACAGTGAATAATGGGGTAGGTAGGAGACCTGTCTCCATGGGCTGTTCCCATCACCTCCTTCTGCACAAGTGGATAGGAATAATACAAGTTGCAAGTATGCATGGCTTTGGCTTCATCTCCAACTCATTGTCTAGCCTAGCCATGCCAGGGCAATGGGAAGTACACGGCACCATGTACTACCTCTGCAAAGGGGGGAAGTACATGGTGCCATGTACTTCCACAGAGGAAAATCAGCAGGTAAATTGTAACTCTTACCAAGATGTCTTCTGGACTGCTTCAGGTGCAAAACACCACACCTTAATTTAGGGCTTGTGGAAAAACTGCGATTGAACCTGGGACTAGGAAATGAGTATACCATACACATGTAAAAACATAGGTTACTGCATGTCCAAGTAGAATTTTTGGGAGCAGTAACCAGCCTGGATGTTGGCATGTAGATATCCTGCATCCTGTGAATGGAATGATAGCAATAGACTTTCCAACTATAATTAATTTAAAACACATAAAGGTGAGGGCTTGGGTATTTGTGAGTGGCAGGAAAACCTGCAAGGGCTCAGTAACAATACTAGGAAAAACAGTCAAATAAGTTCAAGAGTTAGCTAGAATATTTTTACTACCAGTTCTCAATCCTTTGGAGGCTACATATTTTCTAGGATTACATTGACTTATATAATGTCTTGCAAACCATTTGTTAGCTTGGCAACATGGAAGATGCCATTAAGATGAAGGTTAATATTTACATTTGCTTGAGCTATTTTAAAATCATCTTATCTTTGCAATTTAGTTAGCAAAAGGTGGTGGATAGCTTCTCGGAGTCCCATTGCTGTTTTCAGCCATGAATGTCCAGAGATCTGCAAGGAAGGGAAAGTTGGCAGTTTTTGTTTAACACCATGGCTGGGGTAGGTGGGCTGTCAGTGCCAGTATTGCTCCAGTAGGCTGAACTGGCAGGGGAAGTTGGAGGAGAATCTGACCTGGGCCTTTATGTGATACAGGAGATGGGGAGAAGTGTTGGTTGGTTGTTTTTTTGAATGCATGAAAACATGATTAATCATCAATTCTTTTCCAATGGCTGTCATTGGCTCTTCCCTTTACCTGCCCCTGCCCCCCCCACTGACTGCAGAGTGACTTCAATATTCATGCATTGCAGCTGGCTGAGGGCCCCCTAGTGTACGTTAGAGATACTCAGCATGCCTGTGGAGCTGGAGAGAGAGAGATATTTAGAATAGTTTGTGTTCAGTACCGTGTATAAAACCACACAGTTTTAAATAAAATTAGCACATCCCAGGTATAACACACCCATGCTAACATAGGCGAAACTCCATGAACTGCAGAAGCCCATACCTGAAGCCCGTCTGTTTGTTCTCAGAATTTCTTGGGTCTGGTCTCAGAAGAGGCTGATTCTTCAAAAGGCCAAAAAGGAAAAGAAACAAAGGACCAAATCTTCCTCTGCAAGAAATCCATGTAGTTGGGTTTTGCACAGTGGGATTCTGTGAAGATGGGCTGGGAAAGAAAACCCCCTTGGGGCACAGACCAACAGGGCAACTACTGTCTCTAAATCTGTACTAACATCTTTCTGTATCTGTGGTTCAGAGAGAAATAGGCAGTGAATCTGCATAGTTGTATAATATGTATAATGTGCATAGTTGTATAATGTGCTGGCTCTGTCCCCTTTCTTTCTAGTCATTGCTATGCCTCCTCCTGAAATCAGATGATCATGCATATGGATGAGTTTCTACCTTTTCAAAAAAAAGGCCAATGGTGTACTGGGTTGTATTAATAGGAGTATAATTTGCAAATCGAGAGAAGTGATTCTTCCGCTCTGTTCAGCACTGGTGAACCCTCCAGTTTGCCTGGAGTACTGTGTCCAGTTTTGGGCCCCGTGCTTCAGGAAGTATGTGGACAGACTGGAAATGGTCCAGCAGAGAACAACAAAACTGATTATAGGCCTGAAAAGCATGACTTATGAGGAAAGGCTGAAAGAGATAGGGTTATGTTGACCCCCTGGGCGACAGTGACCACTGCCTGCTTGAAT